ACACAGTACACAAACATATATTATGTAAACAAAAACTTTTATTTTGGATGCGAATAATCGTTTGACACCACTAATTTTTATATATTTTCTTTTTTTTTTTATATATATAATTTTATTATTATATTTATATTTTAACTATCTCATTTCTTTGTGTGTAGATTTAAGCACTTCTGGCTAACTAGTCTCATTTTTTTTTTCATGCTAGATTTGTTCATATGTATAATAATATTTGACACATTATCTTTGTATCTAACAGTAGTGACCCATATTGAGGGAAAGACAAGTAAAACACGTTTTGAGATAAGACTGTAGGTGATTTTTTTCTAAACGTTTGAAAATATTAATTCAGTAATCATTTATAATTTGTAAGTCGCTTTGCATAAAAGCGTCTGCTAAATTACAAAAAGTAAATAATTATCAATAATCATAATTCTTCTTTTTTGTTTGTTTGTTTGTTTGGTCGTTTTGTTCCAATTGTAAGAGTATGAATCAGGTATTTATCTGATCACAAAACACAACGATAAAGCACATCAACCTTGACAATACTCATGAAATGTGTGGTTAATGAGTAATTATGAAAAATTGCAGAGAACTCATACTGTTTGAAGAGACCTGCTGAAGAACAATTAGCATGGAACCAAGGCACTGTTTTATACATAATTTATCATTCGTCCCCAAAACTCTCATAACTCTTTCTTGTTACCACAGTGACACATTTATAAAACACATAACGTTACTTCTTAACTCTTTAACCATGGTATGATCGTTAGCGTTTATCATGCAATCGCTGACCTGCAATGTTGAGGTGCAGACGGATATTTAGCAGTAATTGAGTATCGGTTTAATCTATAGCTGTGGTCTTACTTTAATCGCAGTCTGTCCAGCGGGCGACCCAGAGTTCAGCTTTACCAGCGGTTCTCTGCACGGACTCCTATCGGACAGCACCGCGGGGCAGGAAGGCGTCATGTAACGTGGTTACGTCGTAGTTCTGGTCTTGCAGTGTCGTAGTGCCCGTTGTGTTCACCCAAAATTCTGTAAAGATAGGCTACATGTAAATTATTTTAAGGATTAAGGATTAATTATTTAAGGATTTTCTTTTTTTGAGGGGTGAACTACTTAAATCACACCTAAACTTTACTGAAATGCATCATCTGTTGTTTGCATTATGAAATGTGTGAAGAAAAAAAGTTGATAGTTTTAATGGTTTATATCCCACAGTTCTGACTGTTTTCTTGCAATTCTGATAAAAACGTCAGAATTCTGACTTCTGACTTTTTCAGAATTCTCACATTTCATCTCGCAGTTCTGACTTTTTCTCTGAATTCTGAGTTACGTCGGTCTTGCAATTAGCTTTATTTATTTATTGGTTTGTTTCTGCCAACAAAAAGGAAATTGAAACTTCATCTCTCTTCTGACTTTTTTTTTTCTCTCACAATTTTGAGTTTATATCTCGCTATCTTTTATTTTTTTCTCAGAATTGTTAGAAGTTTTTTTTTTTAAATGTGAGGTAAGAAATCACAATTTTCTTACCATGGCTGTACAAGCTTCCTTGATTTTCATATTATTAAAAAATAAAAAGCATAGTCAGTGTACTAACATACAGTAATATATGACAAAAATCAGACTTTGTACTTTATGTACTTAAGAGACATTTCAGTAAAACCATTAGTGCCCCCCAAAACTGTGTGTACAATTAGGCCCTTATTGTTATTTTAGTGATGTAGACTATCAGTGTAGGCCTATTTGTGATTTCTGACAAATTACTAAACTGATTTAAGACAAAGAGCATAAAATAAATCTGAAATCATGCAGTCACATGCAACCGTCAATCCTTTTGTAGAAAATCATTTAAATAAATACAATGTTTACAGAAAGAGGGATTCCGTTGATTACAGCAGTGGTTCCCAACCCTGGTCCTGGAGGCACCCCAACACTGCACGTTTTGCATGTCTCAAACACACCTGATTCAGGTCATCAGCTCATTAGTAGAGACTCCAAGACCTGAAATTGGTGTGTCAGAGAAAAGAGATATGCAAAATGTGCAGTGTTGGGGTGCCTCCAGGACCAGGGTTGGGAACCACTGGATTACAGTATAGGCCTATTCATTTTATAGTCATCCTCGACAAAGCTTTTGGGTGATAGTCCAGCTAACTGAGAGCAAATTGAGGACCTTCGTCTTATTTCTGACCTTTAATTAGTAAAGTATATCTTTGAGAAAAGAGATATGCAAAAGGTGCAGTGTTGGGGTGCCTCCAGGACCAGGGTTGGGAACCACTGGATTACAGTATAGGCCTATTCATTTTATAGTCATCCTCGACAAAGCTTTTGGGTGATAGTCCAGCTAACTGAGAGCAAATTGAGGACCTTCGTCTTATTTCTGACCTTTAATTAGTAAAGTATATCTTTTTCTAAGTGAATCCAAAAATCCTTCCTCGAGGAAGTCTTGTCTCTCAGTAATACATTTCAGCTCAATGAAATAATTTGGATAAGAGTGTTGACTAAAAATATGTGACATAGCCTATCTTCATTTGTTGGATGGGATTAAACTGTAAATTATTTATTCAAACTCAGAAGGAGGTGTATCTCTTTATATATACATATATATCAATAAAATAAAGAATTTTATTGCATGTGAATACAGGTAAATTGATCATTACTAAGATACATTAATATAATGCAAACAAGTTTTCCAAGTGCACTTTACAGATCTACATTTAGACTGTTTTCCTTATTGTCCAGATAGTTGCAAAGTTTGCTTGATTTCAAACATGTTCATCTATTGGCCATTGACCTGTATCCCATCTCTCCTTCCAGCTGTTAAAGTTCCCAGGATGGGTTGACAGTCTGGATTAAACACAGAATACGTGCTCATTTCTCCAGGTTGTCGGAGTTTTGGGCTTCGAAGGCCCTCATAGAGCCAGTAGAATAACGATATAACAAAAAATGGCAGGCCGAACTCAAGTTCTGAAAAAAGCCCCAGCAGCACGAGCCACAGCAGCACTTTAAGCAGGGTCAGATGGGCGAGGGCCACTCACTGAAGCCAACGACCACATGTAGTATTCAACAAATAATGACTGTGATCCTAAAATGACAGGAAAATATTAGATTAGGTTTGTTAGACAAAAATGACATGGTTAATTTGCAGTTTTATGTGTCATTTTGTTACTGTCCTGCTTTTTTTAAGTAGTAAGTGTTCTCATACCTCAGTGTGTGGACTTTGAGGGCAGGTGTTGGGCTTCTGTTCAACCATCGCTTATTGCTTTCGTTTCACTCTGGATCACACGATCAGCAGGTTTCTTGGCTTCAGTCTGGCCTTTCTTTCGTGCTCTGAACTCAGCCAGCTTACGCTCCATATTTCATACCTGAAATTTGTAATTTGACTAAAAATACACAGCAAAGAGATAAAATAAGAGAACTATTCAGACCGATCGTGATTCACCAATTAGAAATTGCTAGTCGCAAGGCCTCGCCAATTTTTTTTTTATGATTTGAAGGTTGGTTGCAGTTCTATCGTATTTCTATGGTAGTTGTTGTTGCACACGGACACTTTTATGGCTGTACCCACCGGAAGTGTGCGGGCGTCCGCGTCACAGGAGAGGCTGTGGTTAGGTACTGGCATCATCGATGTAAGTGCATAGAAATGTGTAAAATATTACTTGGGTATAAAATAATAATATATTTACATTTGAAACTCAGAGAGAATGATCAGTCAGTGATTTTGCGGTAAGCGAAACTAACGTTACATTGATAGATGACAGCTGAACCCAGCATAGCTTTAATTCCTCATAACAACAACAACGATAGCACATGATATCAATATTACGTGTATAATAATCTATGCAAGCTATCTGTGCAGCTATTTATTCAGTATATTTTAGTATTATTTATTGGGTATTGCGTTTTTGCCCATAATCTGAACCAAAGCGTTGATGTGCTGTTTTTTTTTTTTTTAAATTGATCAGATTTCTTAAATGTAAACCAAGAATCCTGAAAACTAAAAATGTATTGGTGATTAAAAAAAATCTATTGTTTTTGCCCAAAGGCTTTGTTGTGTTTTTTTTTTTTTTTTAAATTGATCAGATTTCTTAAATGTAAACCGGAGAAATTGTATTATATATCATAACATAATTTAAATCTTACTTGTTATTTATCTAACTAAAAAACGGGGACAGTATGTTTTTTAATTGTTAAAGTAGGCTCCATATACTTTTATTAATTAATTTACAGTTCACATTTTGATGTATTCAAAAATCACACTTTGAAAAATATTTAATAGCCAACACTGTAGATAGAAAACAGGTCAAAATATTATATTATTACACTTTCTTGATTTTACAAAAACACCTTATAAAAGTTAAACAAATGTGAGAACATATGACAAATAAGACCGTTTTTAATTGTTTTCACAACCTTATGTATATAGATATTACAGCTTTTTAACTTTTCAAATGTTTTGTTAAAAATTATGGTACAGAGCTGCCAGTGTTTCCATGTTGATGAAAATGTGTTCTGTCGGAAAGAAAGAAGAACAAACCGTCAAGCTGATGTAGTGCTCTTCATTGATTAGTGTATGCATAAATCATCCTATAACATGTTGCAGCAGGGTTTAATTCCTCAAAAATGCCTTTGCAGATATCGGTAGTGAATCTCCCGTGGAGTGAGCCAGCATGGCCTCTGCCCCAGCACAGCAGCCCACGCTCACTGTAGAGCAGGCGAGAGGTGAGAGGTCAGTCCTTAAATCATATGCTCAGGGGTCATGGCATGACTTAGACTCAGCCAGACTGTTGTCCCGTCCATTGCAGTTGTTCTTAGTGAGGTGATCCAGGCTTTCTCCGTGCCTGAGAACGCAGCCCGCATGGAGGAAGCCAGAGAAAGCGCCTGCAACGACATGGGCAAGATGCTGCAGCTTGTGCTTCCTGTGGCCACTCAGATCCAACAGGAAGTCATCAAAGCATACGGCTTCAACAGTGAAGGAGAAGGTGAGATTAAATGTGCAAACATGTAAACACAAACAAAATGCTGTCATTTCAACTGCTGCCTTTCGCCTTTCAGGTGTTCTCAAATTCGCCCGGCTGGTGAAGGTGTATGAAACTCAGGACCCAGAGATCGCAGCCATGTCAGTGAAACTCAAGAGTCTCCTACTGCCACCTCTCTCCACTCCTCCCATTGGCAGTGGCATCCCGACCTCATAGAACAGCGCAAACTCCCAGTTCATCAAGTTCAAAACCGTTTCAACTATAAAAATTGTCTAGTGCAAACACATTCAGGTTTTCCCATTTTAGTCAGTTTTAACACTTCTTTCAAGGGTGATTTAAACTGAGATGAAGTACAAATTGCACCACAGAAGAATATTTGAATAAAAAGAAAACAAGTTATTGGTGAACTTATACATTTCCATTTTCTGTCAGTGAAATTAGTATTCAAACCATGGTCTTGGTCACATATTTATTTTTTGTATTCATATCCATTTTGCCATGTTGAATGTGCATATTTATAAAGCGTAACTAATTTGTTGATGCCTTTTGGAGGTCTTGTTGGTTTTTAAAGCTTTTTATACAGTTCATATTGATTGTCTCATTTGGTCATATAATCATAAATGATAACCTGTGACATTGTTCTTGTGATCATTACTGTTTGAAAAACTGATTAGTGTCACATAAACAGTGTTCACCAATAAAGTAATTTTTTACTTAATGGAAAAATGTTTGTTATCATGAAATGACCGTGCTTTTATTAATGTCTTTCTCAGTATTTTAGTTTTCTTTGTCTTAGTCAACAAAACATGCAAACAGCATTAAGGCCAGTGAGTCCACATTCCAAGTTGGGACAGACTGCTTCAGTGGTGTGCTGTGAGCTGGAGTCGTTTACAGACTCAAAATGATTCAAATTTAAGCCAATGGTCTGCTGCTGAAACAAATCAACCTGATGATAGAGAATGTTTTAAATGTGGACAGAAAGGGCATCTTGCCCGTGTGTCACGAATCCGGTCCGTATTCTTCCGTCTGCTCGCCACCAGAGGTCGCCTTCTGATTATATTGACTCTCACACTGCACAGACTTCCACATGTCACCACGGACTACATTTACCATGCTCCATTTCACTGATTACGTTTACACCTGCAGCCAATTACACCCACTATAAGAATCAGTCTCAACACAACCATTCACTGCCGAGTATTGTATGCATGTATCACTGTTCTGCTGATAGCATTATTACGGAGCCAGTTTCCTAGTTCAGTCAAGTCATTGCCCTGTCTAGGCTAGCCGTGTTTTTGGATTTCGTTTGTCTTGAATTACCCCTCTTGTCTTGCCCTGTTCGGATACATTGAAACATTAAAAAATAAAGTTATTTTTGTGAAAGCAAATTGCTGATTATTGCCATATATTTCACTTAAGTTAATGGTGTATGTGGTCACAGTTTCATTTGCGGATCCTCAGATACATGACTGACTGACCAGTATTGACTAGCCTACAACTTGGATAAGATTCCTAAAAGTTTCGCACCTACAGCACACATTACAGACATTGATGCACAAACGCGGATATGTTCTACATGTCTACAGCATAAAGAATGAATAAACCACTTATAAAATATAATATTCATGCACAATAAACTATTGTAAAATGTATTTACATCACTCGACAGAAAGGTTTTTGCTGGTTTTAATAAAATGTAAATTAATAACAGTCATAATAAACAAGCATATTTCCAGTATGCGCCTCAGGCTTGCACAGTGTCGTCAACTCACTCAACAGAATCTTCGGTAATCCTCGGCAAACTTCGCCACGGCTCATTCGGTTCTTGTTGAGTCCTCGGTAATCCTCGGCAAACTTCGCCACGGCTCATTCGGTTCTTGTTGAGTC